TTTCAGCGTATTTTGGGCTGTTTTTGCAAATTTCTTTGGTATGATACTGCTGTACTATAGTTTAGGCTGTGTTCAGCAGGCAGCAGCAGCAAGGACGGGAGAACAGTGCGATTGATAAAGTTGTCAGGAGTATATGTTTTGTTTTCAACCTGTTGAAAACCTGGCAATATGTCATTTATATATAAGAAATGCATAATATATGATTTATGATGTATTGTGATATGTAAATGACAGGGAACCAGGAGCCTTGACATCTGAAAGTATACTTTTCAGAGAACACTCCCACCTAACCTAACCTAACTTTTATATAAAAATGACTTAAAATTACCTGAACAAGGCCTGACCCTCTACCACAGGACTCCTATTAAAGGCCAAGGAATTGTCTAAGTAGATATTCATATTTGGTAATCATAGGTATGACCTTTATGGTGTAATGAAGATGAATGACAAAAACTGCTATTTTCTCAAAATCATATTTTCACGCATGATAGTAAGATAAACTTTGTATGTAATTGCGCAGTTTTGATAATTCTTGTTGCAAAATGATCGTCCAGTTCGTATCTACTAACTGTAGCTAAGTCACATATTATTTCCACCAAATACATTTTTTACTAAAAAAATTAATGACGATTTTCATACGAAAAAAAAGGCGCTTTTTTGCAAGGTAACTGAAACATTGTCGTTTCAGATAGATTTACATGAATGCTACATTTGGTACTCCTATTTGTTGACTAACTCTGGTCAGAAGGAAACTGCAGTACTATTCACTAAAAGGAAACTATTACATAATTTGTGAATTCTATCATCTTGCGTGTTTTTTTTTTTTTTTAGCACAAAAATTTACGCAGCTTTTTTAAGTAAAATTTCTTGTGCTCAAGCATCACATATCCATGCACATTGTGTAAAATAATTAATGACCTAGCTTAAAAACTAAAGCAAGGAGGATCGAAAAATGGATTTCGTGATCGTACCGACGACTCTTCCCCTTAACCAATTTCATATCTCACTCATAGGCCTAAGTATGAATAAGTAACTACATAGAAATTCAGTTCCTTTTAGAAAGAGATAATTTTTATACCAATCTCAAAACCTCAAAACATGATAACCAATATGTAGTATTATGATCCACAGAATGTTTTTTTTTATTAAGTCAGTCATATCATTTAGCCCCTCCCCAATGCAGGACAGCCCCATGAGGATTGGGTTGCAATATTTTTTGCTTTTTAAATGCACACAAACCATTTGTCATTTCTTCATGCAACATATGTGATCAAAAAAATAAAGTTCAGACTTTTTATGACATTAAGGCATTAGAATAACAAAAATGAAATTAGTTGTTTTCAACCAATTAGGAATCACATTATAACAGGAAATAGAGAATAAAAGTGCACACAGAATTGTTGAACATATTTTGTAGTATTTACTCTTACTTTTAAAGAATACCTATGTTACTTTTTTGTACAATTTAAGTGATAATTTTAAAACTGTTGTTTTGTTAGCACTCTAACCAGCAACAGTAAGAAATGCTGATTTATTATTTTTAGATAGGCTGATTTTGCTGATTAAATGCTGATTGATTATTTTTAGATAGGCTGATTTTGCTGATTAAATGCTGATTGATTATTTTTAGATAGGCTGATTTTGGGTGTCAGGTACTGGGATTGACTGATTCTGGGTGTCAAGGACTGGGTTTAATTCTCTCCTTTTTATGTAGTTGGCCCTGGTTCCAAATTTATATACATGAAAGTTGCTTGATTATTTAATGTAATTTCTTGACAGGTTAAATTACGGAGCGCAGAAATCGAAGTTGCAAGATTGCAAGCTGAGCTGGAGTTGATTCATGATCAACATTCCAAAGAAATATCATTATTGGAAAATGCTAACATGTATGTATATTTTTTCTAGTGTTTGTAGCCTTTGTATGATTTTGTTCCTTCTAATATTCCAGTGAGAATCCAATTGGAATATGATAAAAGGATACTTATGCAGTATACAAAATCCATAAGATCTAAGATTTGATTAGACAGGCAGTCATAGCTCTAACGTTTATCATCTCGAGTGTAAAAGCAACTAGAGGGAATAAAGGGAACTTGAGATGCCATTCAAAATACATAGAATAGTATCAAATGATACTTCTGTAAGTTGCAAGAGTGAGGCTGTGTTGTAGATGAGACATGTATCTACTACTTAACTGATCTGTCTCTTGATATAGTATGGCAGGGAAATAAACATGGGTGAAGGACTGGGCAACCCTTCTCATGCTGCTGCTTGTAGTAGTACCCCTGGAGGATCGATGGTAGTTCCTCTCGTTCAGAATTCTGCAGCTTAAATGCACAGGGGCTGTGTAAGCGAACAGGGAATGAGAGAGCTGTGAGGGGTCCTTTTGAGCCAGTCAGGTCTCGGGAGTGAGTCGCAAGAAGCGCCTGCTGGTGAGTAGGCAAGGATAAGACCGTAGACTTGGTGTGGCCCAACTTGGAAAGTATGCAGCACTTCAGATTGC